GGTGGCAGAGGACAGACCTCTGGTGTCAGCGACAGAGCAAGGGGGCTCTGTGCACACTTCACAGCCCGCAGGGCTGGCCAGAGCACGCACAAAAAAATTTTGCCTTCCCTCCGACGTGGCCCTTTGGCGCCCTCTAGTGGGATTGTCGGTAACACACAGCCCTAATTTTCAGAGGAAACAATTCACAGGGGTTTCAAATGATTAGCTATGTGAGACGTTGAGATAGAAATTCAACAACCAGGAAAGGAACTTGGAGCGTCTCTATAACAACCCAGTACAACTTACTGCCCACCCTCTGAGAGGAGCGATGCCGGTCGGAGAAAAAGAGGACCGACCACCTGCGTGTGCGTCCAGATTCTTCTCTGCACTGCCCTCCCTTTGCAGGAACAGGACAACCGAGGGAGGCCACCTGGGGGAGGGCAGTGGAATACAGATAGTCACGTGTCACCCCGTCACGAAATCCCAAGAAAGGAAGAGGCGTTGAAAGCTTCTTCGTTTTTAATAGTACGTAAGACTTTTGAAAACACCTACGTGAATTCCTGAACTAGATTCCTGGACAGGTTTTCAGCATTATATTCCCATGATGGTGTCCACTTACTGGATGCAGAAGCGTGGAGAGGCCCATTTCCCAAATAACTATGCACACGGAGATGGCGGCCCCTCGGGGTCCTTCCGCTGCCCAGTGATCCCTCACCCCCATCAGAGCTCCCCGCTTTCCTGGCATGAGTTCTTGCATGTACAAAGCCCCATCCAGGCAGTACTGAGTGGAACTGCCACTCAGAGGTTGTCTTGGGTTTTTTTTCCAGTGGTGGCTCACGTATTAATGCTTCTTGCTCTCCCCTTTGCAGAGGGCTTTGCAACTTCGGTGGCCCCCTTTCTGGATTGCAGGGGCCCCTTTGTGGGGTGGGTGGGATTTGTCATGCCTGGGCCCTGCATATGCTGTGAAAGCACCTCACTGGCCTCTCCCTCCCCAAGAGCTGTTTCCCCGCGGGGGTTTCTCCTGCCTGTGTGGGGTGGGGAGTGGAGGGCTGAGATAGGGAAAGTCACACAATAGTAAACCCTTACAGTGCATCTGCATGTACATTTTCTCCAGAGTTGACTTTGGGTCTTAACGGTCTTTTAGGTACTTCTAAGTCCATCCATGAACGCGAACATTAATCGAATTGATTTGTGTGTCTGTTGGGCATGGAGCCAAGCTCTGGGCACATTAACAGTGAATGACACAGAAGTGGTGTCTGTCCTTGAGGGACTTACAACAGGGAGACTGAGATGAAACAAATATTGTGAATAACCAGTGACAGGAAGGGCTATCAAGGAAAAATACAGAGGGGAGCATAACAAGTGGACCCAGTGTCACGTGGGGCTGGGCAAGTCTAGGTGGAGACGGCGGAGGAGAGTGGGCCTGGCCAAAGCAGGTGCCGGGGGTCGGGGGGGGGCAGTTTGAAGAATGGAACACAGCTGGTGTGGTTAACACTGCGCATGCTGATGCTCTGTGAGCTCGACGAAACTTTCCCACTACTGCACCTATTTCAGGAGAAGGAATGTGGCGGGTCTAGTGCTAGACATGTAGACAAATTGGGTCGCTAGCATTTGGAGGGACCGTGAACAAGTCGCTTAGCCTCTCTAAGCCTCCGTCTGCTAAATGAGAATGACATGAATAGTACCAACATCATGAATATTTAAGACTAAATTCAATGGTGCGTGTAAAGCACTTAGTGCTTGTCACATAGTCACATCGTGGTCAATCAGTCCAATAGCAATGACCCCCAAGAGGACAAGTGCCTGATCTTACTCATTTTTAAAAAATATTTTATTTATTTATTTTTAGAGAGGTGGGAAATGGGGAGAAAGACTAGGAGAAAAACATCGATGAGAGAGAGAAACACTGATCGGTTGCCTCTTGTATGTCCCCCAACAAGGGACTGAACTCGCAACCCAGGTATGTGCCCTGACCCTGAATTGAACCTGTGAACTTTTGCTTTGTGGGACTACACCCAACAGAATGAGCCATACCAGCCAGGGGTGATCTTATTCATCTTTAAATTCAAGGTGTGTTTCAGTGTCTGGTGCACAGGTGTTAATAAAGGTTATTGCATGAATGACAATGTAAAACCATGTTATAAACTTTAAAGTTGACCTTTTTAAAGTAAAGGGCTGCTTTACCAGTGACTTATTTGCAGACCAGCATTTTAGGAGAGTGGAATGTGTCATTTCCACCAGGAAGTCCTAAGTAAGAGTGGAGTGTCAGCGAGAAAAAGAAGTCAACTCCATTGATTTTGGCACTGAAGACCTACAAGGGCAGGGCCATTGGTTCAGCCAGTCTCAGGATGCCTGCGTGCACCGTGAGTGCCGTGGCCCAGGCCAAAGCCCCGGCCCGAACTCTCTACCCCTCTTCCTTGGCATTTTAGGGCCATCCAGGCAGCTCAGGACTGATCACTGTTTTCTTAAAGGTATTTATCGGGCAACTCGGAAGAGTCAATGGGAGAACCTGTAAAAATGCAAGACCCAAATATGGGCCACGGAGATGGTGTGTAGACCTCCCCTCACGCATCTGTCCCACTTGTCATCACAGCTCTGGCACTGGAATGGTGACCCAGGTAAAGACCCCTTCACTGGTGATTATAGGTCTAACCGGGTGCAATTCAGCTTTTCTGTATAGTTAAGGTTTGAGGTTTTACCCCAGTTCACAGGCCTTTCTTCTAGTTCACCGGTCTAAGGCATAAAGATCCTAAGTAACTTTACTTGTTGTGTGGTAGTATATATATATATTTTTTTTGGTTTAGTGAATTTGGGTACACAATGTATCAATTGGGTTAGTTAAGCAGCTTTAATTACTTTTAAGTCTCAAATGAGTGATGACATATAGATACCAATTAAGCAAGCTTAAGACCTCTTCAATTACTTTTCCCCTTTCCTTCAAGGTAACAAAGGCTGCCGTTCACGGCTCCAGGGTGGCCAGTTCCACTGCCGGCATCTCTGTCTTCTGCAGTCTGAACAGGGACCACAGGAAAACAGTGTACAGCTGTCCCCTCTCAGTCCTGGCAGTGAATTTCCACACCTTGTGTAAGATGTCACCAGCCAAAGCACACTGTGCAGACAGCAAGCAGAAGCAAATAACACAGACGTGCAGGCGGGAAAAAGTCAAGTAAATTCTTTACCAGTGATAAGGGAAACGAGCAGCTGGACAATTGCTTCTTCTTCCCCTCCCTCCCTCGTGCAACCAGGATTAGTTTCTATTCATTTCAAAAGATTTCATTTAGAGCAAAAAAATTAATTAATCAAATTTTCCTGAGGGGAAAAAAATGATAGGCAAGGACACGGGAGGAGAGTGGGGAAACCCAGATGTGCAAACTCTGAAACTCACAGCTGCGCTCGCACATCCTGATATAACTGTGTTTCCAAGAATGGAAGTTTCTGTCGTTTGCCTGTGAATCTTGCATCATGCAAAGCTCAGTGACTCGGCCTTTATTTTCAAAGTTGGAACCTGTTTAGGATCGTTGAATCTCGTATCTAATTATTACAAGACTCAGCAGAAATTCTTTTCAATCCTGACAGGTTAATTGATGGAGTTCTAAGGGAGGTAGAGAGAAAGAAAAAGGACATCAGATTGAGCAATAACTGAAAATATTTGTATGAATTTCTGACCACATTCTACTCAACTTACACGAGAAAAAATTATGTGGAATTTAATACACAATTCAGTATTAATACTAGGTCATGTTTAAAGGAAGTTAATCCAGACAAAAAATACTTGGCCTCTGGGAAAGTCAGAGTTTTGCTCAAAATGTAACACTAACAAAAAATTACAAGGTTGGTGGAATTTCCAGGACCCAATCATAAGGTTACTTAACCTGACGGCTGCCAAAGTGGTGGCAGAAATGATGTAAGAAATGCACGTACAAGACCCATTCCGTCTGAACTGAGAGATTCTAAAGCTCATTTTATTTTTACTTGACTATTCAAGCACTTGGTAAATATCTGGAAAGGAAAAATCTCCTGTTTTCTTTCATAGATTTTAACTACAGAAATTACTTCTGGTTTTTTACTTACTTGCATATATCCATGCATTTTGCTGTTTTAACATAAGCAAATTTGAAGGCCACTATATAACCAACCAAAATTGGTGTCGTAAGAAGTTAAAGGAGAGAGGCTCTTTCTCATGAGCCACATCCAGTGAGTGAAGGCGGAACTCATCTGATGACCTGTCAGAACGGGGCTCCGTGGTACACAGGCGTCACACCCACCTGCAGGCTGGTCAGTCAAACTGCCTCCAGGGCTCTGACGTCTGACTTCCCCATGGCTTTCATTGTAGCCAAGGTCAGTCAAGGACATCTGCAGTGGCTGGCTGTGGTAAAATGTGAGACGTCTGGGGTGGCTGGCTGTGGTAACATTTGAGATCTAATTTCTCACTTGCCACAACATGCACCATCAGACCTTTTCTCCGACAATCTGATGCTTTTAAGCTGGAACATTGTAAGCTCAATTTCCTTTTGAAATTGGCTGCTAGGAAGTTAGAGCCAGATTTGTAAGCCTACTTCTAACATGCATTAAGTTCACTCCTGCTTTAATACTGTTTTCTTTTTTCCTTTCTCCTTTACTTAGATCATATGGCTTTTTCTACATAAATTTTATCCTTGTATGTGGCTCTGTAAGCCCTCTTGAAACTTTTCGGGATAAGCTAATGTATGCACAAACTTTAGATACATTTCACTACCATCAGGATTGAAGTGGATCATGCTTACTATGTATCATAGGCTGACTCAAGTCAAAGATCTGAGATTTTTAAAAAATGGTAACACTTCTTAGTAAATTTGTATTTTTCCTACAGTTAGACTCAACTTGAATTTCAGGAGTTAAGAGTAAAGAAAAGATAGAGTCAAACTACCCCAAATAAATGTTTCTGGAGGCTTCTGAAATTCCAAAAATTTCATTAAAAATTGAATCATTCATGTTTAAAACACAGTCTGAAAAAAGGTACTTGGCCATGGTACATCATAGCATACAAGATAACCAGAGGTGGAATCTTTATTTCACAAGTTTCAAGATACAGTACAAAACAAATCTGTACATCTCTCTATTAACAGGATTTGTTTACACAATTATATTACACTTCACCAGCCTTTATACTGTATTTAATTAAATACAAAATAAATTTACAAAAAAGTCTACCATGGTGTTCCTTCCAATGCCAACTTACGGTTTTTTAAAACTTCTAAATATTGATAGTGGTTATACCTTGATCGTATCGACATTGATCTTTTTCAATCACAGAGCACAGTGTCAGCTTGCGCGTCATTCCAAATAGGAGACACGGCGCGCGGGTGGTGACTCCTCGCACACGCACGGCCCAGGCATCCTTCTCATGCGCACGAAATCAGGGTTTTTCCTGTGCAAACTGTCACTTTAAAATAGACATCTTTTCTACTTGGGATACTTTAAATTTTCTTGAAATACAAGTAGAAGGAGAAATTTAGCTTCTTTTCAATGACTACTACATATTAAAAGTCAGGTAGCACATCAGACAATATGGTACTCAGAAATTTATAATTTCATTTATATTTGAGAGCAATGACTGATAAAAAATATCTTCACGAAAATAGAAGTTTCTTTTGCTTTGATTTTTTTCTTGCACATCTCTAGTCATAATATTGTGCAACATACATTAAACTCACTTTCAGACAAACACTAGTTGTCACTGGGCCAGGTGTGGCCCGTGCTGCTCTTCCCGGCAGGCAAAGGGTCTGTTTCATCTGAAGCGTTCTGTTTTGAAGAGCATGTGAAATGTCAGTCCAAACCTCTGTGAAGGGAGCGTTTCCCAGATGTAGCCAGACAATGATACAAGTGCTACACACACAAAGAAGAGCTGTGTCTCCCTTCATGGGCTTGCATGCGTGCTTCCACAGCACTGGTTTAAAGAACAAACATGAGGAGCAAAGGGGGGAAAACAAAGCAAAAAAAAAAAGAAATCCTTTAGTTTCTTGGAGGCAAGAGCAGCTCTTGAATTAAATAAAGCATCCGATCATCAGCAGATCACAGTGAAAGTTTCTAAAACGTCCCAACAGTACAGACAAAACAGCTCGGCAGTAAAACTCTTACCCATTCACCTCATGTGCACGAGGGTGACACATCGTGAAGAGTATTAAGATTAATGCAAGTTTGTCTCATTTAAGTGTTAAATAATGAACTTTGAAAAAGGAGTTTTGTATTACTCTTTCTGTGCCTTTGCATGTTAACCAAAAATAATATAAGCCTCACTCAGAAAACAGAAACAAAAACTTCCAACACAAAAAGGAACAAACAAATATCATTGGTACCTTTGCAACATAAGATGGAAGCAAAAAAAGACTGAAAGAGTTGACTAAACAACAACCGAATGCATGAGCGAGGCTCACCTACGTAGAGGGCTACTCCCGGCGGCACCCGCGCAGGCAGGCAGGCAGGCAGGCAGGCGGCGGAGAGGAGGGGCAGGGGACACGGCTACCATGGGGAAACGAGGCCGCGCTCTATCTGCTGCCTCTGAAAGCTAACATTAAAACTCCCAAATCCTGGAGTTAGTTTAATGTCACTGACATTAACGAGCTTTAGTTACTGTCATTTTATTCAAATGGATGCCATTTGATTAGGTTAAGTATTGAGCATTATTTTAGGAGAAACATCAAACCCAGTCCCTATTTGCTTAGGTATAGTGAAAAGAGTTTTGTTTCGTTTTTTTTTTTAATCCTCACCTGAGGGTATGCTTATTGATTTTTTTAGAGAGAAGGAAAGGGAGAGGGAGAGGATCACTGATGTGAGAGAAACATCAATTAGTTGCCTCCCATATGTGCCCCAACCAGGGATCAAACCTGCAACCTAGGTACGTGCCCTGACCAGGAAACTGAACCCACAACCTTTTGGTGTACGGGACACTGCTCCAACTAACTGAGCCACCCGACTGGGTGGGAGCAGGGTATGTTGAGACAGTCACAGGACTGGCATCAAAGCCATAGGAACTAAGTTATTTTAAATACACCATTCAAATTTCCAGTAGCAAAAGACCCAGGGTAAAACGGGAAGTGGAAAAAAGCTGGGAAAGGGATATTTGGAATATTAGTAATAAAAAGGGCACGGCAAGTGGTAAACTGGTAGGAAGTTAGTTATTGCATGAAGAACAAGCCTGCCCTTTCCCATCCGGCTTCTGGTAGTAGTGCGCAGTTACACGCCTTACTTTTTTAAGGTACTGATGGAGGGAAGTAAAGGTAGATAAAAATTCTGCTAAAGAAGAAATTAGGTGGATGGTAGAGGGGAAAAAATGGAAGTTGAGTCATCTTAGAGATTTTTAACTTTAAATCAATGAAAACAATTCCTTCGAAATGAAGTGTAACCGCTACAAGGGCCGTGCGGATTCTGAAGGGCAGGGAGGACGCCCACAGAGCCCCCCAACTGCACGCGAATCTCTCGTCTCAGTGCACGAGACCAAACACGCCGTAGTAGTTACGAGAGCTGCCCCTAGCGGCATTATACTTTCTGAGGGTAGTATTTCCTACCGTTCAGATGAGCTTTTGGACACAGGGTTCTCGCTGTGACCACCTCTTCAAATTTGGAAGCAATTATCTGGGAGGAAGTTTTGCTTACCAGGTTTCTCGTAACACTCTAAACAACCAAAGCAGACAACTTCACATTTGAAGCCTTCATGTTGATTATAGACTAATTAAATCTAGTTCTAAATACAATCCCAACTGCAAGAACCAAAGTCTTACAACTCTACAGGTCATAAACTCTTCAAGTCTTCCGGCAGATGAGGGACTACGGAGAGAGAGTAAAAGGTTAATTTAAACAGACTGCAGTCAAAGACCTAGAAAGCCCTGCTCACCCACAAACGTAGCCTCAAACTAAAGACAGGCTGGTGAATCCCCCCACCTGACACTGAAAAGAAATGCAAATCCCCAGTTTGTTTTTTTCATTTGTAGGGTATGTGACGTCCTTGAGCTTTTTTCCACTGTTGTTTTCCATACAATGTACCCAGACAGTTCTCAAGTGCAATAGCCTTGATTTGCCTGTGCTCACAGTGGGAGGGTGGTGAACAGGACAGCTAAGCAAACGACGGACTTTCTACTGGAACGTCAAACTGCAGAAATAAAAATCTACCTGGACAGCGTAAACAGGCTTTGGCCTTCCTCAACCCCTGAGCTTCACGCGTCTCGGACTCTCAGTTTTAGCGTGTGGTGCCGCTTTAGTGCAGCAACAGTGGGCACTGCAGGCCGGACGTGGGCAACGGTGTTTCATACCAGAGAACTCAGGAGGGGGACCTGTTCTTTTGTGAAAAGAAATGCAAACTAAAGAAATCCTGGTAACAAATGCTTTGACTCTTGGGGGAAAGTACATCTAGGATCTTGGTACCCCACACAGGGTTCTATAATATTGCTTTCTAATTTCTCCCATCTAGTCCATCCTCTGGCTTCCAGACCAAGGCTTTGCATAGTCAAAACAAACACATCACATTAAGCAGGTGGGGCAAACGCACATGTTAGCTCAGGGAGTCAGTTCACAATGTTTTCTATGCATTCCATTCCAAAGAAATGAAGTTCACACACAACTCGTTAACACGGCCTTTCCGTCTCTGAAGGAGAGAAGTATGGTGTAAACCACGACAGTGACCAACGGTCAGAAACTTCCCTTCCTTCCCTTTTAAAATAAGAAAGATGCTGAATATGTATACTTGCATATGAACTGGTAAAAGTTTCTGTTTGGGCATTCTGATACACTTTGAAGACTTTTTTTTTTGTAACTTAAAAGGCAAGTTCTAGTTTCAGACTTTCCAAACACGTTAAGGTTAAACTTGCAACTAACCGGGGCTTCCTTTCCGCACAGATCAGGCGTTAGTGTCGATGCACAAGTCCTTCGAGAAGGCTGACCGGAGAACTCACGCACACGGAGAGGAGGACCGAAAGGACCCGGGAAAGACAGCTGGAGACAGTGGACATTACTCTAAGTGTCTCACATGTTTCCAGGGGGTGGGGTAGGGGGGGAGGGAGAGCCATTGAGAGTTGTTATTCCAAACGGCATTGAAACATTCAACTCAGTTTAGGTAAGAGTTACTTATCCCTGAAAATAAAGGCATCAGATTCTAAGCAGCTTTAGGAATTCAATGCTTCCTTGTGCCTCTTTCGGGAGGTGGCCACTGATCCAAAGTCCCAAATCAAATGCAGGTGTTCTCTGCAAACAATCTCCTTGCTTGTCACTGACCAGGGCTGGACACGGCGGCTGTTACTGTGGCGGCTGTTGCTCTGGTGGCCCCTCCTGCTGCGGCGGTGCTGGCCGTGGCCCCGGCGGCCTGGGGGCAGGCATGTCTTGGTGCTGCCTCTGCCTGTAAGCTATGACTGTTCCCAACAGCAGCGCGATGATGGTCATGAGGTAAAGGTCCCACTCCGGCCCCAAAAGCTGGTCCATATCAAGCTGGGTGAATATATCTCGAATCTTAATGGGAATAACATAAAAATCATTATGATCACTAAAACGTCAGAGAAGGAACTCCAGGAAAATCGCATCACAAATTAAGAGATAAATACAGAACTTATTAAAATAACTGATTTTAGGAATATTTTGCAATGTAAAAACAAAGGTTTTAAAAGCCTTCAACTGAAACTCAAAAAATAATGCATCTCAGAAACTGAGCTATTATTTCATAACAGTTGACTATGTTAGAAAGTGTCTGGTAGGGTTTCTTTCCATCAGGAATCTAAGGCACTAGTTCCCAACCATTTTTCACAGAAAATATTTGAAAGGAACGCTGGGGACAATGGCGGGCCAAGGGGTGAAAAGAAAAAAAAATCAGTATCTCGACACACCTGTAACCCATTCACAGTTATGGCACACCAGCTGAGAAGCTCTGTTCTGATGACAGCAAGGGTATTTCATTACTTCTCTCAGGTCATTGAAGGTGGCAGAATTCAAATGTTTAGTAGCTGAATGAATGCTTTTTAAAATTTTAGAATTTAACTAAATATTTAACATCTGAATTTAAACTTAAAATTGTGTTCTTAGACTATGATATTTCAATTGTTCTAGTGTCACTTAAGTCATTGTCAGTATTTTCTGACTGCCACTTAGTCACAAAGAAAATAAACATGGAGTATAATCCTTTGTGTTTTAGTAAAATTACATTTAAAAGGTTCACATAGTAAGCCCTGGCCAGTATGGCTCAGTTGGTTGGGCACCACCCTGCAAATCAAAAGGTCGTGGGTTCAATTCCCACTTGGGGCACATGCCTAGGTTGTGGAGTCAATCTCTGGTCAGAGTGCATAAAAAGGCAACAAGCAATGTTTCTCTCTCACATTCATGCTTCTCTACCTCTCTTTCTCCCTCCCTTCCCCTCTCTGAGATCAATAAGCATGTCCTCGAGTGAGGATAACAAAATAGTAAAATAAAATGTCCCCACAGTATATACCTATACGTACAGGCAATATATTTTTCTGGAAAGAAATTATAAGCAACTATTAACTGTGTTTCCTGGGGAGGGGGCGACAATGGAGAGTTCGTGTTTCTCTGACCAACGTTCTTGCCATCAATACTCAGTATGTTGTGTTGTATGATCAAATCCTAGACTGTGACCCCCAGCTTACTGGTCTTAGAAACTGTGAGAGACAGGGGTCTGAACGGTCCTGCATAGAAGCAGCACGCTGCCACGCTGACAGCTTTTTAACTGAAGGAGCGAAGATCCCTTCAGTGAGCGGAGGGCACAGCACACCCCGGCTCACGCCATCAAGCAATCAGAAATGTGCCGTTACAAATGTGCACGAGCAACGGGAGGACAGAGCCCCACGTCTCCAGTCCTCTGGAGCCCCCGAGACCCTCAGTGGCACGGGCCAGGGCTGCAAGAGGGGGAGGTCCAACTCCTCATTATAGATGCTGGAGCACCCTGGACCACACTTGTATCTGTGTAATACAGGAGAGAATCCATTCTGGAATCCAATGACGAGACAGTATATCCATCTATTCTGAAAGATGTTCACTAAAGGTTGCAACATGACACTTTCTTGTCCAGAATGAATTAAAGTTAAATAGCCCTTGTTTCTGCATGTATTTAACACTTTCAGAGTCAAATGCTGTCCTAGTTAATGCTTTATGAGGAACTATAGGCACTGGAAACAAAATGTCAAACTAGAGACTCAAGGGCACCTACATATAAGTGTTGTTAACTAAAGCTGGTAGTTTTGAAGAGAACGGCTAACCCATCTCCTGCCCACGTTCTACCTTTAGCTTATTTAAGTAGCTTCAGATATTTTTAGAGATCAAAACGCTGGTGGTGGTTTTAGCATGTTTCACTATCAGAAGAATCTAAAGTACAACGGCCCAGGCAGGTTACCAGGTTTTACTTCTTCTTTTTTTAAATTCTATTTTTATGGGAGGTCTGAGTCACTGCTAGGCAGCCAGTCATCTGATTTAATGTTTACTGAATTTAGTTACCTACTGCTTCAAACTGGGTTAGTCTGTTTTCCCCAAATCAGAAAACACCTGCATCAGTGCAACATGCTTCAGCACGGGGAACCACTTGTCAAGTGCTCCCTGAAAACTGTGACTGCAGGTGGCAGTTACCCCTCACCTGATGAGGTCTGCGGGTACTTCATCTGGGGAAGAAGGGAGGAGACCAGATACTTGAGGAATACTCCACCCCTCTCCCCCAACATTTAAAATACCAACCTCCGCCCGGCTGATGTGGCTCAGTGGATCAAGCACCAGCCTGCGAACCAAAGGGTCGCCAGTTCAATCCCTAGTCAAGGGCATATGCCTGGGTTGAAGGCCAGGACCCCCCGGTTGGGGGCGCACAAGAGGCAACCACTCATAGATGCTTTTCTCTCTTTCTTTTTCCCTTCCCCTGAAAATAAACATCTTAAGACAAACAAACAAACAAAAAAAAAACAAGCCTCTGGACTGAGGTTATACATCATCTGTATTTTAAGTGAAAGAGGTACGGACCACTTACATTTGTTTCCCGTACGTACTGCAAGAAGTAGACGACACCCAGTTTGCAGAGCGCTAGGAAGACTGGTACTTGTGCATCCGGGCTGGCTTCTGCTGCCATGTCATAAAAACGTTTTGCAAGGTGGATATCCTGTAAGATAGGTCATAAACCCAAATTTACCTCTTGTTAAAATAAGAGTAATTATTTTTTAGTTTGTATGTTAGAAACTTTATTTTACCTTTCAAGTTGCATTTTTAAATTTCCCTTACCTAAAGAAAAAAACCCAAGTTTTAACTGGGTAGTATTTCTTTAACTGCTTAATTTGGAAAAACTTAATGGAGAATTTTTAAGACAATTCATGCTCCGCCAATCTGACACCCACTTGCGGCGCACACACACGGCCTGGCCTGCATTTCCAGACTTTCCGAGTGAAGTGCTGCACAGTCCCCACCTACACACAACACGTTAACCTGGACACTTCCAGGGGTGACCAGTAGGCTGCACGCTGATTTCTCTCCTACTTAAAACTTCCTTCAGTTCCTGGTTTCAGTTTGGAGCAGTGGTCTTTAAAATGGAGTAGGCATATTCCACTTTAGTAGACAAGAGTTTCCAAGGGCCACTTGCATGGACACTGCTAAGGGACTCGCACCCTGTGCCTCCCAGTCCCAGACATATTTCTGTGAAGGGTGAAACAGGTCATTGTTAATTTTGGCCCAGGCTGGAGTGTTCAGATACATGTAGAATGGGACAGTGGGAGTTGTGAAATTTTCATTCACCACCTTAATTCCTCCATGACCTGACTATTACCAAAGAATATCAAACTCCTAGGAAAGAATTCCATGAGAAATGGGAAAGGCTTAACATTAAAAATGACTTTTTCACACATTTAAACATAACGATTACTTTTAGTCATTCCCTATAATGGGTACCTAGTGTATGCTATTAATTGGAAAGAAGGGCACCTTCAAACAACAGTAACAGTAGGGTTAGTGTCTTTGATTTTAAAAAATATAAAATACTGGCATTTTTTTGGTCTGTCATAATTTTCAAGTTCACAGATCATACTATGTGATAACATAGGTTCTATGAGTATGAGTAAGTAGGGTAATTAAACTGTAGCTATCAACCTGGCTGGTATAGCTCAGTGGATTGAGTGCCGGCCTGGGAACCAAAGGGTCACTGGTTTGATGCCCAATCAGGGCACATGCCTGGGTTGTGGGCCTGGTCCCCGGTAGGGGTACATGAGAGGCAACCACACACTGATGTTTCTCTCCCTCCCTCCCCCTCTCTATAAATAAAATTAAAAAAAATTGTAGCTATCAATTACATCCTGATTTATTCCAATTATGACTCACCTTATTTACATCTTAATGTTTTTCTATTTATACTAGATGATTAGTTTTTAGTAGTATAAATGCCTCTTTCATTTAAAAAATAAGAAAAAATAGGAAAAAGGTCATTATGTTTTATAAAAACTAACGAATTTACTATCATTTTAATACATAATTATTTAATTATTCTTTTTTTTAAAGATTTTTTTATTTGTTTCTTTTTAGAGGGGAAGGGAGGGAGATAGACAGAGAGAGAGAGAAACATCAATGTGCGGTAGCTGGGGGTTATGGCCTGCAACCCAGGCATGTACCCTGGCTGGGAATCGAACCTGGAACACTTTGGTTCCCAGTCTGCGCTCAATCCACTGAGCTACACCAGCCAGGATTATTTAATTATTCTTAAAAGTTGAACCCTAGAGTTTCCCTTCCTCAGTGATGCCTTTTATCACATTCTCTATTCCCAATAATTTACATAAGCTATATACTACATTAAATTATGAGATGAGAAAAGCATATTGATTCATATTTTTAATATGTATATGTTATTGCTTACGCTATTACAGTGTCCCAATTTCCCCCCCTTTGCTCCCTGTCCCAGCCCCTCCCCGTGGACAGCGCCCACACTGTCGTTCACGTCCGTGGGTCATGTGTCTGGGCCCTCTGTCTGCTCCTCCGCCTTCTCGCCACCAGTGCCAGCCTCCCCCTCCCCCCTCACAGCTCTCAGTCTGCTCCTTGTCCCTGTGCCTCGGGTTCTGTTCTGTTCACTAGTTTATTTTGTTCCTCAGATTAGTTTCTTGTTTTATAACCTATTATAAAAACAGTGTTAGAATTATATAACTTTAATCTTGACTACTTTTAGTAAATTATTCCTAGGTGTGTCCCATAGAAGTCACAACTTATGTGTGATTTTTACATTAGCCATAGAACACATATTACTTTTATTTAAACTAGAAAATACAGCCAGGCTTTCCGGGGTGACTGGTCTGACAGTGAGGGGAGGCCCTGGTCACTGCGTTACAGGGCAGAGACCTTCCACAAACCGAATGCAGCTCTGGTCTTCATAAACAATGTTTGCGTATTTAACATCAATATAAATGTAAAACATCAAATCAGAATAAAATCGGTGTTCAAATGTGATAAAAAAGCACTGTGACCAAAAATGAACAACTGTCCCTTAAGAGCAGTAGGTCAACCAAGTGCTTCTAAGTGGCGGAGTTCAGGGGTACGAGGTTCTTTGACAAGCTTTGGTGAAGCTTTTCAGGTATTCCTCCCAGAAACTGGGAAAGGAACAACTCCAGGGACGAGGGAACACATCCTCTGCAAGTCTCTAGATTCCGGTTCTTGGCTTTCAACAAAATTGGAAAGAGATCTAACCAAGTTATCAGGTGATAGATCATTAAAAATAACTTTAATGGCAGGTCACCGATTTTGGGCACATATTATGCACTAAATGCACTAAATGTTTGCGTGTCTGTTGAAACCCTCCCCTCCAAGGTGATGGCGTCAGGAGGTGAGGTGTTTGAGAGATAATTAAGATTAGATGAAGTCACCAGGGTGGAGCTCTTGTGAATGGAATTAGGGTCCTTTTAAGAGTCCCAAAGAGCCTGCTGTTTCTCTCTTGCTCTTTCCTCAGGTAAGGACAAAACCAAAAAGACAGCTGTCTATGATCCAGAAAGTGGGCCCTCAGCAGACACCACGTCTGCCAGCACCTTGACCTTCAATTTCCCAGACTCCAGAACTGTGAGAAGTTTCTGTTGTTGAAGCCACCCAGCCTATGGTATTCTGTTACAGCGAGCAGCCCAAACTGACTAAGACAGCATATAACCCTACAGCAGTTTAAAGAATTAAGTGATCTTGAAGACTGTAATACAATTCTTCTCTTTCCCATGTACTTACTTTATCAAAATGTATTAACAGTATGTTCATAATTGACCAATTATAACTAATAATATCTCAAAAATTTTCCTTAGCACTTACAGCCCATAATCCCAGGACATAAAATTCAAAATCTGAATTTACATACTTATTTATTTAAGATAAATACAAGAGTGAACAGTAAAAGATCTAAGCTTTAAAAACATTACATTAGTATAAAATTCTATGGGAATAGTGGACTGAAAATATAAATTCAGGGAGAGAAGGAAGAGATGCAACATGTAATTCAAAATTTGCTGTATATTTTTAAATTTGTGTGTGTGTGTGTGTGTGTGTGTGTGTGTGTGTGTGTGTAAGAGACAGAGGAAGCAGGGGTGGGAGACGGAGACAGAGAGACAGGCATTGACTTGCTGCTCTACTCATGCACGCATTCATTGGCTGGTTCTTGTATGTGCCCTGACCAGGGATCGAACCTGCAACCTCAGGGTATCAGGATGATGTCTAACCAACTGAGTTACCTGGCTATGGCTGCAATATATTTTTTTTAAAAAGATTTTATTTATTTATTTTTAGAGAGGGAAGGGAGGGAGGGAGAGAGAGAGAGAGAAACATCAATGTGCGGTTGCTGGGGGTCATGGCCTGCAACCCAGGCATGTACCCTGACTGGGAATCGAACCTGCAACACTTTGGTTCGCAGCCCGCACTCAATCCACTGAGCTACGCCACCCAGGGCTCTGCTATATATTTTTAAAGAATTAATAATAGGTGCATCAAATTATTTAGAGTAATGTAAATTAAATTTATATCAATTTAGGGTAATTTAATAGTTTTATTAGAAATGTTATTTAAACTAGCTAGAACTTAAACTCTTTGAAACTTAAACTGAAAAATTTTAAATTTCAACTTAAAAATGCACAAGATAGTTTTCAAAATTCTTTAAAGGCACACAGGCAAAAACTTAAGACCACGGTCTAGAGACTGTTAGATTTCATTAGGTTTAAGAACCAGAAATAAGCGGGAGTGGGGGATAGGTAGTGGGGTGCATGGAGGACTGAAAGGATTGAGGAGTACAGATTGGCAGTTACAAAACAGATACAGGGTTGCAAAGTAGAGTGTAGGAAATAGAGTCAATACTGCAGTAACTTTATATGGTGCCAGGCGGATAATGCAAGTATCAGGGGAACACTTTGTGAAGTATATGCTTGTCTAACCACTATGCTGTAAACCTGAAACTAATACAAAATAATATTGAATGTAAACTGTAATTGATAAAAACTTTACAAAAAGCAGAAATAAGTTTATCAATAGTAATCATCTTAATTCATTTCAAAATAATTTAGAAAACAATAGAATCTGTCTGATCATGGATGGCTTTTCAAATAAGGAGTTATCAATAGAGGCCACACTGCATCTCTGTTTTCATGCATCTGGTTTTGACTTAATATCCCAAATATCACATTATGGATGTCAGTATGTGTGTGAGCTGGAAGATGAGAGAGACACAAAGGCAGTCTTTTGAAATATTACAAAACTCTCATAGCTTAGTATCTGAAATCTGAGCACATTCCTAAGAAAGCCTGTTTTCTATAAAAAATGCAGACGTTGCCCCCAAATCATAATTTATATAATTAAATATTTGTTTTGCAGCCACGCTCACCTGTTTGATGCCCAGTCCTTTCTCATGCATGTACCCCAGATTAAACATAGCCTGTGCACTGTGTTGTTGCTCAGATGCTAGACGATAATGAATGAACGCAGTTTCGTAATCTACGTCGGTGCCAAATCCATAGAAATGGTAGTCTCCAAGCTTAATCCTAGCCACTGTATAACCTTAAACAAAAGTTAAATGCAAAATGGCCAATAAATACAGTGTTTAAAACAGAGCACGCTGTTTTTATCTCTTCCTGTTAATATGCTTAACATAAAACAGAATTTTAATTTGTAGTACATAAACTTAACAACAAACCTTTCAGCCAAGCTATAAATTCAGTAAAAAATGTTAACTAGAAGTACTGCTTTTCAGAAGGCGGCTCTGAAATAGGCAGGGAGAGGTAAAACAAGGTGGGCGGTGCTCCCTGTGCCTGCAGTAATATTCTTCAAATGATCATGCTCTACTCTATGATGTCACTTACATTTTAAAATAGTTCAACTGGATTATTGTTTATGCTTGAAGAAGGGATAGGAAGACAATTTGGAGAGTTGTATGCGTGAGAAAAAATATTCAAACAGAACACAGTGGAAAAAAGAACAATCTTTTGGAGTTTAGACTAATATTCCATTCGATTCTCATTTACACAATATACCAGGCTTACACTGAAAACCAGAGAGTAAGCCACAGCGTGACGTAAGTGTCCAGTACAAGTACCTTGCAATTCAGCTTAGAAACCCTGGGACTAGAACTTGCATTTAAAAAATAAATACCAACCACGATGCAAACAAGTTAAGCAACACTTAGTATCTCTTAGCGTTAATGTGATAAATGACAGGACTTAATCTTTAAAGGAAATAAAAAAATGAAAAAACCCAAAAAGTTGAGAGAGGGGCCTGGGTGAAACCCTCTTATCCTTTAGGGCGAACCAACCACTCACCTTGAGAGGCGGCCCTGTTCCAGTGCAGCAGAGCTCTGGGGTACGTTTCATTCTCACCCACAATGGTTGCTTCCCCTGCAGGGAAAGACGTAATACAAATCGGGCATTTACGGAAAGGCACTAGCCTTTTAGGCTTCATTTGGAAACTAGGGTGAATACGTGGAGCACAATTTAAATACGAATTAGGATATTACAAATATTAACTAGAAAATATATTGTAATAAAAGTAAATAGGTATTAAAATACAATACTGAGTTAAAGGGAATCACTGCATTTAGGACAACATTATGTCCTGAAACACGTTTTAGCCACAGAACCAACAATGAGACTGACCACTGAGCCACTCCTGGGGATCTACACACGGCTGGAAAGACAATGTTTTGTATCTGCTGTATTTTGAAATGTATTTGCTAAAAGCGGTCAATTTATGATGAACGTCAGATCTATTTCTACTGTCAACTCCATAAAACTAGCTTGGATGGCTTGGAGATCTGAGGCAGAATAACTTAAGCATGGGTGGCAAGTTCTGATTACAACAGTAAAGAAGTTTCTTTGTGCTTGTCTCTTTAAACAGGTAACCTCATGTGAGCCCTTGCATCCGGAGCCCTGGGCAGGCCTCAGGTGAACCTTACTCTGGTCAAGAATGAAGGCCGCGTTGCTCTGGGCCACTTCGTAGCCTTGCTCCGCCAGCAGGAGGTACTGGATCACTGCGGCGTTGTAGTCGCCTTCTTTATAGCTGTTATAGGCCGCCATAAGCCTCTCAGACCAACGGCCCCGCTCACAAACATTCTTAAACAACTGTGTGAACAGAAAGAAAAACCAAAAAAAGAGTAAGAAAGATATGCTAGAAGATCGGTTTTTCACAAGGGCCACAAGTGTGTGTTAGGCATGTACTCTGCATGTCTGGACTTTCATTAAATACATACAAAAGCCTGGGATACATGTATTTGAAGTGTTCACTTCGTCTTTAGAATAGCATACAAATAATAGCGAATAGCCCTGGCTGGTGTGGCTCAGTGGATTGAGTGCCAGCCTGAAAACCAAAGGGTCGTGGTTCGAGCCCCAGTCTAGGGCATGTGTCTGGGTTGCGGGCCAGGTCCCCAGCTGGAGGCATGTGAGAGGCAACCACACACTGATGTTTCTCTCCCTTTCTTTCTCCCTCCCTTCCCATCTCTAAAAATAAATAAATAAAATCTTAAAAAAAATAGCAAACAATTTATGCTGACCAGACACTGTTCCAGTAATTTATGCATAGTATGTATGTTAACTCACTTAACCCGCCCATGAAGTCTATGAGGGAACACTCTAAGGTGAATCCTATTAACACCCCTTTTTACCAGTCAGGAAACTGAAGTATAGAGAGGTTCGAAACTTTGCTGAGCATCTACCAGTGTCACTCTAAAGTGCCAGTTAGGAGAGAGCTAAAGACCAGTAGTTCCAACGGGAAGGTATTAGCATCCTCCTTTGCAACATTCATTTAGCATACAAGCATATGCTTTTTTGACACTATGTCTCATACACAGTCTTATGTGCTAGAGAGTCAGCAGCCAACAGTGTCTGCCCTTGTTAACACTGATTCTAGTAGGGAGGGGCAAATGAAATAAGTAAGTACGACGGTAACACACAGACCCTCACAGTCTCCCTCAATACACTAATGCTAGCAGGCTGCATCTGTTTCTACTCTAGAAGAAATTACAAAGAAAACCAGAGTTAAAACGGCAGATTTTCCTACCGAGGAAATTAATTTCTTGTACAGAGCTGGTAGAAAAGCCCTTACCTCCACCGCATTGTGACATGATCGCATCACACCTGTGCCACTGGCATGCATCTGTGCTAGGTTATAGAAAGCCAAGATATGGCCTCCCTGAGAAGCTAAATTAAAATACTTCAAGGCCTGTTTGTAATCCCTCTTGACTCCAATGCCATCTGTAAGGAAAATCACATGAAAGGTCAAGAATAATCTCAAGTAAGATTTAGCTAAAGCATCAGGGAAATAAAACAAAATAAAATTCAGAATTCTTACTCAGGAAAGGTGTAAATCCTATTAATAGAGATCTGCATATTAATACACAATATAATTCACAATAAGAAACAAGATGCACAAGTCATTGAATTCGGAGAACATTAATCAACCAGTATTCACTAGCTCTCATTTCCATATCATAGTGACATCTAGTGGAATTGGGTAATTAAATTATCTTGGTGAATTCACTGTTAATCCCACCATTACTTACTATAGTACATAGAGCCAAGCTGTAGTTGTCCATCCACCCAGCCCTGTTCGGCAGCTTTCTGAAAATACTTCAGTGCCAGATCGTAATTCTGTAAGAAAGGATCATTTCATCACATGATCACAAGATGAGAAAGCTCAAAAGGCTGATGCAATTGAAAGGTAGGAGATTCATTCATTAAAAAGAATTAACAAAGCACACAAAATGTTCTCCAAGAGCCATTAAAAATACTTCCTGGTTTTTATAACATATAGATAATAATATACTTGAAGTCATAGGAGGATTAATAGTTAAGAGTTTGGAGAGAAGCAAATCGAGTTTTGGTGAAACAATCTGTGTGTCTGCTCTCAGCATCAACACCAGCAATGGAACACAAGCAAAGGATTTAAGAAACAGTCTTTTCTACTAACCAACCAATCCCTTTTAAACCTCAGTTTTTCCAACATTAAATAAGGATAATTATTCTCTCCTTATTCATTCCTTCTCAGTGCTCTTTGTGAACACTATATGATTATTACATTTTAAATATCATATGTATCCACAGAGGAAAACTGAAACAAAGATCAACACTGAATTTCAGTATCCTAAAATGACTAGAAGGAATCAAAATGAGACCACATTACTGTCTCTTATGCTAGGCGATGCCCATAGATTAGAATCCCAAACCTGGCTTAGTCTCAGACCCAAGTAAAAGGAACAGATTGCTTAGAGATTCCATGCAGAGGCGAGAAGAGGGCAGCAAGGAGGAACCAGGTGTCCCACACGAGGAAGGAGCACATACGAATGAGAACAAAGGCCCAGGAAAGCCGAGAGCTCACAGCCACAGAACTCCAGGGAAGGAACAGTTCATGCGACATAAAACCAAAATATGTCAACTGGAGTGCCATGTAGGCAGTTTCTGGTGAGGGCAGAAACTGCCCGGAGAGGGCAGTTACACGGGGCAGAAGCCTGACTGCCCTGAGCTAGAGAGTGAATGGTAGCAGCTCGTGCAGCTCCTTCTCCGGAGAAACCGGCTGTGCGGGGAAGGGCTCCAGAGGGGAGAGGTGGTGGCTGGGAGGGCACAGGGTGGGCCGGAACGCTTTCCTCCTCCTACAAGGGAGAGACCTGAGCACTTTCTTGGGCCTGAGTGAAGGAGTACAAGGGAGATGCTCCAGTCTTGGAGAGAAGGAAGAGCAGACAGGGTGGAGAGCATCAGTGAGAGAATGAGAGACAGGAGAAAAGGTTATGTCTGCTTACAGTGCAATGGCCTATCTAGGCTGACTGGACGCTGGTTTGGAAAGCTTCCCTACCTCACCGGCTAACCACCTGTGAAAATCAGAATGTCAGGCGGCAAACTTACAACTTGAACTCCTCTTCCATAGAGATAAGCCATTCCAAGCCCGCTCTGTCCAACTGGGTTGCCCTGTAAACCAGAGACAAAACAGGGAAATAATTTATTACCAAATAGACAAGACTAAATGTCTTACAGCACATTCAAAACATGTTCTTAGCACTTTTCAATTCCAAACAAATTTTTTTCCTTCCTATCGGGCTAACCGTAGTACTGATGTTTAGATATTTGGGGGCTTTCAGTAATTTGCTGAAAAAGAGCAAATATTAAAATCATTTACAATTAAATCTGGGTGGCTTACCTTTTGACCATATGTTCCATGAATTTATAATATAAAACATAACTAACATATTTCAGCTTTTAATAACTAAAAGTAGAGCACTTTTTTGGAGTAGTTTTTTATTAGTAACTTCCCTCCCCAGTAAGGAAAGAGGCCGTGGGGGAGAGTTAACCACCATGTAATATTGCGATCAGGTGGCAACGACAATTCTTAACATTACTGACATGTCCTAAGCCAAAGATAATCACTGTTTTGAGACTTGAAAGAGGAAAATCTAGAATTCAACTCAGAGTGACAGAAAGCATCTTGAAAAGAGTGTCAGGGCACCCCTTGGGAAACGCTCAGCTGGCATTCGGAACTACGGTAACAGGCAGTTGGCAGGGAGATGAGTGCACGCACTGCAGGCGGCTGTCGCTTTCTCTGCGCCAGAGAGAGCCTACATTGTGTCCTGTGCTGATCAAAAGTACCCAATTATGTAAGTTTTAAACCTCAGGTTGCAACACAGATAAGAAATTATATAACCCTCAACTCCATGGCTAAAAATCAATTATTTCTCCAATCAGGAAATTTCCTAAAGAAATTTCAAGAGAAACTTAAAATACAATCTGATCCCTAAAAAACAAATGAATTGCTTTTTATTGTGAAGATTTTTTTTTCCTAGTCAATTCATCCACATGACTCCTGTTTACATAAATGCTTTAAACAGTTTATGGTAGACTTGGTTATAACTAGTCCTCTAATGTAACACACAGTAAGACGGTAACACCATGGGACACATTTCAACGCCCTCAGTCACGAAGTCTTACCATGTCAGCAGCTTTCTTGAAGTAGTGAAGGGCTGTCTCGTTACTCTGAGGCACGATGTCACTTCCCTCGGAATACATCTGCAAAACAGACCCCATTACGTTCCTCTCCCGTCTCGTCCCACTCGGCTTTTTGTCAGATCTCATGCAATCTCTCAACAAAATTAGAAATTCCCCACACAATATTTTCGAATTAAAAGCAAAACCTTTATTAAAGCAGACATTTTTATATTGTCATACATTCTAAGTCATATCAAATTTATGACTCACCTATAAACATTAACTATATAAAATCAGCTTATAGATCAATCTCAGGAGAAGAAACCGTTAATCCCAAGGTGAGTCTTTTTTTCCTCACCCTATGCCAAGGCCGTTAAATGGGGAGGCAGACTACTTGGGATCAGGGACTGAATGAGGAAAGGAGAGCTGTCAGCAACGTTTTTCCTTCCTCTTCGACCAGCACTTTCTCCAGTCTAAGATAAACGGTGGTCAAAGTCCAGGAAAAGAAATAACTAAATAAATGGTTATTTTAAAATGTTTCAAGCACCAAATGGTTAGAGTATCAGATATGGAACATGATAAAGGACAAAGAGAAAGAACAGAGTGATTAATACTGTTTTTATCCTACACATTAATGACAAATGACATCATTTTTGAGGTACAGCTAGAGTGTAATACAGGAAAAATCGAAAGGTATCAATTGAAAAGTTCTTAAATACAGAACAAGAATAGAGAGGAATACCACTTAATGTTTAAAGGCAAAGTTCTCAGGCCCCAGTTAACTAATTGTGATCATGTGGCAAATACTGATCAGAATTTTCTGTTTGGAAAAACCTTTGAGAACTAGTCTGTCTGAGCCTCGTAACCTCAGGATTTGGATACAGACGAAAATACTGATTGGTCTTCCAGTCAGGGTGGCGGTGTAGGGAAACATGGCCTGCCACCTCATGCAACCACGTTAAAATTACAACCACACAACAGAGCAAGTATTATTCAGAAGTGCCAGAAATCGAGCTGAATGGAAGCCCTACAACTACGGAATTAAAGAAGAAACCACACTGAGACTGGTAGGAGGGGTGGAGCTGTTGAATGGGCTGGTTCCACACCCACATGTGGTGGATAAAAACTGGGAGTAAGAGGTCCCAACCCCACACCAGGCCACCAGCCCGGGGTTCCAGTGCCAGGAAGACCCCATAACTTCTGGCTGTAAAACCCAGTGGGGATTGAGGTTGAGGAAGACAGAAACTTCTTCAGTCCCAGGAAGTTCCTCTTAAAGGACCTGTGCATGGACTTACTCAGACTCACTCCCTCTGAGCCAGCACCGAGGCAGCAGCTTGAAAGGCACCAGAGACATGCGGGCAGGAACTGAAGTGCACGGCATCAGGGCAACACATCAGGGCAACAGCTGGGGGGCAGCCTTCTCCCAGACACAAGTGCTGACAGAGGCCACTGCTCCTTTCCTGCGCCCTCCCCGCAGAGCTGGCATGCAGGCAGCATATCTGAGACTCCATCAACTTGGCTCACAATGTTTGCCCAATACTGTTGATTTCCTGAGGCTCAGCCCTGCCTAACTTTCAAGCCCACCCAAGCTGTTTCCAGTGGCTTTTCCATATGAATGGCTTGTATTGGCTCATGCTTCAGATGTTCCTCAATTCTCTCAAACATGCAGCATCTTGCCTCAGCAAGCCCTCTCTCACTAAGTGGCCCCAGGTCTGGCACTAGCCATAGCTGACCTTGGTTCACAGCTTGGCCTCACTTGGGCACCTCTGAGCTCAGCACAGATAGCAGCCATCTGCAGACTGCTTTGTAACTTATGCTGGATGGCCCTGGATACAACACAAGGGGTGGCTGACCTTGGACTGTGTCTCCTGGGAGGACCCAGAGCTTGTGCATCCAGTGGATAGCTACGGACCACATCAGAGCACTATCACCGAGCCACCTCCACAAGTGACATACTCAAGGGTAGGACTCAGAGGGCAATGGACTCCTACTTAGGTAAGTACCACTCCTCCACAGCGGTCAGAGATTGGTGGTCAGTGGTCATAGCCAGTCCTTTCAGCTGATCAACCTGGGTAAATTCCTCGCATTGACCTGCCTACAGCAATCAAGGCACAGTTACAAGGGGAGGGTGTACACAGCCCACATTGTGGGTGCACCTCGAGTACTCAGCTTGGGTGATAGGGGAGGCTATGCCATTGGACCCTACAGGACACCTACTGCATTAGGCTACTCTACCAAGCCAGGGAGACATAGTAGCTCTACCTAATACATAGAAACAAACACAGGGAGGCTGCCAAAATGAGGACACAAAAAACATGTTCCAAATGAAAGAATAAAACTCCAGAAAAAGAATTAAACAAAACAGAGACAAGCAATCTACTAGATGCAGAGTTCAAAACACTGGTTATAAGGATGCTCAATGAACTTAGGGGGAGAGTACCTGAACCCAGAGAGAACTTCAACAGCATAAAAAAGGACATGGAAAACATAAAAAAAAGAAGTCTGAAATGAAAGATACACTAACTGAAATGAAGAACAATTTTCAGGGAATCAACAGTAGAGAAGATGAAGCTGAGAATCCAGTCAGTGATTTGGAATACAAGGAAGCAAAACACCCAATCAGAACAGCAAGAAGAAAAAATAATCCAAAAAAATGAGGACAGTGTAAAGAGCCTCTGGGACAACTTCAAGTATACCAACACTGCATCATGGGGATGCCCAAAGGAGAAGAGAGGGAGCAAGAAATTGAGAACTTATTGAATAAATGCCAGAAAACTTCCCTAACTTGGTGAAGGAAACAGACATACAAGTTCAAGAAGCTCTAAGGGTTCCAAATAAGATGAACCCAAAGAGGCCCATACCAAGACACATCATGATTAAAATGCCAAAGTTAAAGACAACATCTTAAAAGCAAGAGAAAAACAGTTACCTACAAGGGAGCTCCCATAACACTGTCAGCTGATTTCTCAACAGAAACTTTGCAGCCCGGAAGGAATAGGCAAGAAATATTCAAAGTGACGAAAAGCAAGGAACTACAACAAAGATTACACTATCCAGCAAAGCTATCATTTAGAAGTGAAGGACAGATAAAGAGCTTTGCAGCAAGAAAAAGCTAAAGGAGTTCACCACCAGCAAACCAGTATTATATGATAAAATATGAATAAAATGGCAATAAATACATGTCTATTGATAGTTGAACTAAAAAAACAAAATAAATGAAAAACAGAACAGAAACAAAATCACAGATACAGAGAATGTTGGGGGGGATGGGCAAAAAAGGTGAAGTACAAATCGGTTCCTCCAGAATAGTCATGGGGATGTAAAATACAGCACAGGGAATACAGTATGCAAAGAACACATATGCATGACCCATGGACACGAACAATGACGTGGGGATTGCCTGAGGGAGTGGTGGGGTCTGGCTGGATCAGGACAAAGGAAAAAATTGGAACAAGTGTAACAGCATAAACAATAAAACAGAATTTAAATTTAAAACAAATAAATAAAATAGAAAATACTGATTTGTTTACACTGTAACAGCTTTCAAAATAATGAAAAAGGAAGTTATGAGACTGTGCCATGACATATGGAATCTATTCAGTAAGTCTCTAGATTTAAACATGCTCTTGAGAAATGGACCACACCAACATGTGTGTGATGGCTCCCTCATTTAAGACAATGAAAGGTCTGCAGGCAAATTCCAACTAAATCTAATTGCCTCTGTTTAGCATGGAAGTTAACTGGCAATTATGACAGACTGCCAAAAAACTGCATAGTATAAATTCCTCATTATTACTTATGATACATGAAAAGCAGGAGCTCAGATAGTGGTAGCTAATATTAATGGAGAATTAACATACTGATGAGTAAGTGCTGTTACATTTAAGTCACCCAGGAAAATGTCGCAGACTGGCAATGCCTTAAGACAAGATGCAAAAAGCTTGCACTGGAAATTTTATTTCCAGTTTATTTTTGGCAAATTGTAGATCCTGGGTACAGAATATATACTTACTCTGCCAACTCCTCTTGCTATTTCATAATATATTCACAGGAGTACAGTACCTTTCCTAAGAAGGCCATCGCGTGTGAATTGCCAGCATTCGCGGCTAAATTGAAGTAGTCAAATGCTCGCTGTGAGGAAAGAATTTATTAAAATAATTAGTTTTTAATAGAATCCATCCTTGGTTTTTAACCAAAATAATTATTTCAGGAACATTTAAAAAAATCTTGTTATACTGCAGTATCTCAGTTTAAGTGAATGGCAACAGGACATCTACTGGTTGCTCCTAGGTTCCCCACCGCCCCCTTCTCCCTCTCATATCCGATTCACCACGAAGTCCTGTTACCACCAAATACGTCCTGACTGCAGCCACTATCCTTCACCACCACAATTCTAGTCTGAGCTACATCATCTCTCACCTGAACTTCTCAAATACTCCCCTCCCCTCCCTGATCTCCCTACTTTTATTTTTGGGGTTATCCAAAGCAACTGTTCTTCAATCTCAACGTGCCAGTCTTCACAGCCCCCTGAAGTGCTGTAGGGAATATACCGACCGACAGGACCAGACACTGTTTGTCTCAGTACAGCTGGCTTCCGCTTGCTCCCTGCACTCTGCGCACACCAATTTTGCCCCTTCCTGCCTCAGGACCTATGCACATACTGTTCTTTTGGCCTGGGAAGATTCCACCTCTAGGCTCAACTTAAAAGTCAGAGACAACTGACTTCTCTCCATAGAGATAACTACCACCTCCCACTCATTAGTGTGTTATTGGACCCTTTAGTTCTCCTTAGTGACAATGATCACAACTTATTACATGTATTTTGGCATGCTCATTTAAAAAATATCAAACACTTCCACTAAACTTGAAGCTCTGTAAGGATTTAAGGAATGAAGCTGTTCTGTCCAGCATTACATCTGGAACGGCTAGCACTGAATGGCACACAGCAGGTGCTCCAATGTTTGCTGAATGAATACAGTTATACACTGGGAAATCCTCTTCTTCCTGCTTTGGAGCCTGTGAAATAACTTATCACTGCCTAGTTGCTCCACAGGTAGGCAGCATACACCAACAAGAATATTTCAAAACCTGCTACATAAAAGGGATGCAGCAAACTTACCCAGAATTCTGGTCTCTCACCTATCATTTTATTAACCAGTTTATCTGATACTTTACTGGCCTAACGACATACATTTTAATGACCTAAAGACAATCAAAGCTGTCAAAATGCTATCTGAAATTTTTTTGAAACATAGCTATTTGCCATAGTTTTGTTTGTGAGTGTGTTTTGTTACGATCTAATTCTTCAAGTTGACAGGATATGGTATATAAAATAACCTTAACTGGAATATTTAGCTGGCATGGTAGGAAAGCATGGCTCCATGAGTCTGACAAGATTAACTGAGAGGGTAATGGGTGCTACACACTGTCAGGTGCTGGGAATAAAAGTGGCAAACAAGGTGAACATGACCCATGCTTTTTTGGACCTCATGTTCTAACAGAGGAAACAACCCAATTAACTAATTTACATAATTAACTTACTTACAGTGGACAAGGGCCATAAGGAACACAGATTTTTAGAAATCCTAACTGTGGTACATGACCTATTCCTGGAGTGGAGGGTGAGAGGAGACATCAGGAGAAAAGATATTGCAGTTGAGTTCTGGAGGATGACCAGGGCTTAGCGAGGTGAAGGAAGGGGTTGGGAAATATTTGCTCTAGACAAACGGATCAGCATTCGAGAAGCCCTGAGACAGAGGTTCTTGATATTTTCAAAGGCCTGAGAAAAGGTCTGTGTGCCTGTGACCGAGAAAGCATGGGGCTGGTGAGGTAAACAGAGACGGATACAGGGCCTTGGAGGCCATGGTAAAGGTGCTGGTATTTAAGCTACTAGAAACTGTGGACCACTCAAGAGCTTTAAGTGAGGGAACCACATGATCGGATGCATGATTTACAAAGACAAGCCACTGCTTATGAAATTCGGGCAGTAGATAATTCACGCAAGTGACAGGTGTACTGATGGAAAAAAAGAGAGAGGGTGATATTTAGGACATAAAGCAGACAAAAGCTGATGAGCCGATACAGATCTGATTACTACAATGGTATACTCCTAATTTCTCATAAACTCAACACTGAATTTTCCTCAGTTCTATGAAATATTTTCTAGCTGGGAGTTTTAAGACATACTTTAATCACATGCCTATAGAAAACAAAGACATTGTATATGTATTTTTGGCAGTACCGAAAACTAGGTTTTAGAATTAACAAAACCTTTTCCACCCCTATGAGGTATAATCACATTTTATTGTTCAGCTTCCTCAGGGATTAGTTAGATCTTGAAAGTTCATTTGTGATGACTGTCCTACTAACACAAGCTTGATGATGTCACTGACTCAGCAAAAAATACGTCTGGGAAATTAGTTCTTGCTACAACAGGAACTGCAAAGCTGCAGGACCAGGAAAGTTACCTGATGATTCTGCTCTACTCCACGCCCCCCATGCAGATGCAGCTGTCCCAGACCAACCTGAAAACGAAACAAAAATGATGCAAAAGTCAATGGCAGCATCTGGAATGTGATTACATTGGACCAGGGGCGTCAAAGTCATGTTCACCGGGGGCCACATCAGCCTCGTGGTTGCCTTCAAAGGGCCAAATGTAATTTTAGGACTGTTTACGTGTAACTACTCCTTAACTACGGGCAAGGAGCTCTACATTCAGCCCTTTGAAGGCAACAGCAAGGCTGATGTGGCCCCTGGTGAAAATGAGTTTGACACCCCTGCATTACACCAGCAAGAAACCACCTGGCCATAAAGACATTTCTGTTTGTAACTCAAACAATGAAAGATTTAATTTCAAAACTCCTTAAGATACTACACTCTTACATGAAGGGGGTGGTGGGGTGGAGGGGCTCCAATACATGGTGATGGAAGATGGTCTGATTTTGGGTGGTGGGCAGTGTAACGTGCATCATAAAAATGTATACTTAAAACCTGTATGATCCTATTATCAGTGTCACCCTGATAATTTAATAAAGATTGGGGAAAACCCCTAAAAATGTATATGCTTTTATTATGAGGTATCTTTCTGAAATGGAGAAGAAATAAAAGCATTTTCAGATAAACCACAACTGAATTAGCCACCAATGAATCTACTCTGAAGGAAATACTAAAGGATGTTAATTAGGAAGAAAGAAAATTATTCTGGGAAGCTTGAAGATGCAGTACGATAAAGAAAAATGGAAAGGCAAATTTGTCAGTCTAAATCATATGGGTAAAATAATAGTACCTTTAGCGTTCAAAAACATGTAGAAAACATGACAATAGAGAATATGTTCCACCAGATATCAAAATCTGTAACGCTATGAACATTTGGACAATACTGGCACAAGACATGTACCAAGAATATATGCAGGGAGTTACCTACAATAGCCCAAATCTGGGGAGAATAAAACAGATAAAGTGTGGGATTCCCATACAATGAGATAGCATATAGCAAGGCAAATGAATTAATTACAGCTACATGAAAACACATGGGTTAATTTCAGAACCACAATGCTGAGCAAAGGAAGCCGATACAAAAAAAAACAAGCTGCATGATTTTTTTTTTTTACATAAGATTTGAAAGTAGCCAAACCATTCTATAGTGTCAGAAGTCATCTCAGTGGTTACCTATGGGGAGAGGGAGCAGTTGGTGATGACAAGTTCCTAAGAAGGGCCTTCTGGGTGCTAGTTATGCCCACATGGGAGGCTCCCTTTGGTGATCACTCATTGAGACGTGCAGTTCAGATCTGTGTGCTTTTCTGTGTTCATGTCACAGTTCAGTAAGAAAAAAAGAAAATGATACACTATACCCCACGAGTTTTTTTTAACTGGAGTTTTTCACTTAATACATTGAAACCAGCTTTCCACATTAAATAGGCTTCTACATTTTTAATGGCTGCATAGAATTTCATTAACTGGAGTGTCATATTTGAGCTAATTCCCTATCATTGGTCATTTGGATTGTTTTTAATTTTAATTGGTCTCTAACGTAAAAGAGAGATGTTTAGTGGAAAAACATAATTTTAGTAAAATTTCCATAAGCTAAGATTTGGATCTTTCACTGCACTGTAGGGTGTGTGTGTGTGTGTGTGTGTGTGTGTGTGTGTGTTCTTTACTTAATACTCTTCTGTTAGTCTTAAAATACATTGGTTTTAAAAAGTGTCTATTGCTAATCTCTATAATTTCTGAATCAGAAACAACTGTAAATTCAATGGGGAAATGATGCTGAAGTTCTCCTTCTTATTATGTTATCAAAATAACCCACAAAACATATTATATATGATACTTTGATGGATATCATACACTTACACTAAATATGCCTATTTCTTTCTGTCCTTGACCTTGAGAAAATTATGATCTAAGTTGAACAAAGGAAACAAACAGTAAATAGTTCTGGGGAGTATCTGAAATTGCAAATGTTCCAGAGACTTTTTGTTTAGAGATGTGGCAGTTTTTGTCCTTGGTGACTCCGTGAAGATGCTTCATCATCACTGTAATGCTGCTCCATTCAAGCAGCGATTTTCAACTGTGGTGCACAAGAGTGTCACCTGCTAGCTTTTAGGGGCTATGAATGGCCAGCCCACATGCCAGATCAATCCCAACGGAATGTCTTAAGAGTGTGGGACTAGTACGTAGCTAATAATAATGCAGCTAATAACTGCTAAGAGCAATGAAAATGTTACTGATAGATATAAGGGCTTGTCCCCAGAGACTGTAATATACAATGAATTAAGATAGTCCATGAGATGTGCAGACACATACCTGTGCTTGTACATCACCTTTTTCAGCCAGGAACTGGTAATACTGAATCAAATCTTCTTCTAGCATTCCACTGTTCATTCCTGGATTCTCCACCTCATCAGGCAGCCGTATTCTCTGCACTACTGAGCCTCCTGTCAGCGAGATATCACTAGCAACTGAAACAGGGGAACAAAGTAATAAAGTGGATGCAAGTTAGTGGGCTGTCCCACAGAGAAGTACGATTCCAGCTGGCAAATGCTGACAGACACTATGTTATAGGAAACTGTTCCTACAGTAATCTATAGAGTTCAAAACAGTAGTCTAAAGTAAATTCAGTTTTTTCCACAAAATATTTAAGGGGGAGCCCACAGCAAAATTTTTTTAAAAGTACATACTTCTTAAATTAGTGTAAAGATAATTCCACTTAAAAGAGCCATTCATGACAGTTCAAGTAGTGCAACAGAAAAACAGATGTATTTAAAATGAATTTTTTTGTGTTGTTTTTTGTTTTGTAAGATGAAAGGCAAAAAAAAAAAAAATACCATGATTGGCAACGAGGCGGTAATGAGTCAGTGCGGACTCGCAGCTCTGCAGAACTCCGATGCCGGCCCAGTAGCGGTAACCCTGCAACACAGCTTCAATGAGAGGACAGCAGTTTCCCCTGCTTCAGTGGCAAGTAAGGCTGCCCACTCAAAATGTAATTCTGATGTCTTGTGATCCCAGCACACTACCACCTCATTCATCCCGAGTTTTATTTAGGTCAGGGAATAATTTATGTAGCCACTCCAACAATCCGACTAAAAACTAGGAAGTAAAAAATAGATTTCCCAGAGCAATCGAAAGAGATGTCATGAACTTTATGTATGTAGTGTGCACTTTACCTGTAAGAGGAAATTACTTAAGCTCTTGCTTAGAATAAATTTCATTCTGATTTTAGACATAATTTTAACAGAAAAGGGTTAATCCTCCAAACTAGCAAAGAAGCAATAAATGAGCAAACTGGGGAAGTCAAGAGACTACCAGAAGCAGAACAGCAATAAATGGCTTAAGAAGAAGGGGAAAAGTAGCTAATTATAAAGTGGAAAGAACAGAAAGGAGAGCCCTCTGGAGTCATTTAACAGACTCTAAGTAAATTTAGAAACATCAACAATCCTTAGGGCATTAATGTGTAATGTTTAATGTTCTTATTCTGTAGCAACTATTGAAGAAGATTGTAAGTAATTAGTTTTCACTTACTTAAACTCCCTCATCAGTTTACCCTTCTACACAGGACAAAGTCCAAGTTTCTTGGCATGACGGTACAGCTGTTTACGTGATTCCCGTCTACCTGCCCTGCTCATGAACTACCTAGTACTCTACCCTCCAGCTACACTGAAGTGCTTGCATTTCCTTGCAAACACGAGATTCCCTCTTGCTGCTGTCCCTTTGCATATTATATTGCTCCTGCTGCCTGGAAACCCTCTGCTTCTTCCATTCCCTCACCCCGATTTATCTACCCTGCAAGGTCTAGTTTAGTTGCTTCCTTCCCCAGAAGAACCTCCTGAAATCCCTCCCTTCCAATGCCTGTGTGGGCTAGATGACTTCCTAGGCGATTCCTTGCCATTCACATGTCGTACAATAATGGTCTCCTTATTTTTGCCTCCTTTTCTTATCAAAAGCTTGTTGTGGGCCAGGACTGTATCTTACCCATCTTTGGAATCCAAATGACGTGTACTCAATAAATGTTTTTGGAATAGATAAGCAAAATTAGTTAGGATCCACCCAGCTAGCCAGAAAAATAGATTTTCCTTCTTTTTTAAGTCTCATAGCTCATCAATAAGCAAGCCTGTAAACACTTTTCCAGATTTCTGGACTGGTTTTTCTACTTTCAGTCTCATTTCTGCTCAATCTATCCTTTGTATTCCTGTAAGAATGAATTTACATATTCATTTGAAACACAGTAACATGGGTTAGAGACCATGTGGCTCAGTCGAAGTACAGGCAGACTAAACACCCCAGCAGTGAAGAATTTAGTGGCAAGACTCTGTATGTTACTACTAAGCCATTTAAGTGATCAATGTTATCAGAAAACATAAAATATAGTCTGTACTAAACTTTATAGGACCACTGGTTCTTTATATAGCAAGTCCTTCATCAATTTCAATGTAAAATCTATGACAACCAATATAAAAGATGACTCTGACAGACAATTCCAACTTACAAATAATACAAAGAGACATTTATCAGATAGTTACTTTAAGGGCAATCAGCCAAACTAGTCACTTTCGTGAAAAATTGTGAACTCTACCAATTTTCATCCACATGTAGATTTGATTATTATATTTGTTAATAAGAAGTATGTTCAACGGAATATTTGGTCTTAGTGAATGTAAGTAAATCTCAATTGTGAAAGTCAGAAAAGTTGTGCTAGTTGTTAATCAAAATTCTTTTGCTACTCAATGTTACTATCCTTCCAGTTAAGTCTTACTTACCAAAATCATGTGGGCTATTAGGTTGCCCCCAAGAGCTCCAAAGGTGTAATATACAAGGGCCTGTGAATGAACAAAAGATACTTAATTGAACACGAGCACATATATTTACCTAATTCAAATTGTCACATATAATAAAGTTTTACTAGTATTACCTTTGCCTGACTTGAATTAACACCAAGTCCAGAGGCATAGAGAAAGCCAAGAGCCTGAAAATGATAAGAGTAAGAATTCCTCCTTTAGTTGAAGTTTACCCAAGACAGAAATAGTTTTACAAACTATAAAAAAAAATGAAAGAACCTTCACATGTAAAACAATTTGAATTATTCAAGTATGTACAACTTGGAATTAAAGAGCCTCAGAAATTCACTCAAGGTATTACAAATTACACAATAAAATATAATGTTAAACAAGTCAAAGTATTCAGTTTGAAGGTTAAAGATAATTTAATTATTAACGAGAAAAATAAAGCAGAACACAAATATGGCTTTTAGTTGCTCTTGATGAACAACTGTTATGAGAACAGAACAACTCTTGTCAGTACATCAATGCAAAGGGACATACACAATGAAAATGGATAAGAGATTGCCAAAACACATTATCCCAGGAGTATTAGGAGGCAGCAAGGGGTGAAGGTGAAGCAATCAAGGAAGAAAGCTCACTTCACAAAGTTTTCTTAAAAAATTCAACCAATCAAACAACGCACTGGTAAATAACGTTTTACCCACTGCCTTCTGAGGATCTTCCTCGACAACATCAAAGTATAAGCTAAAGTTACAAAAGCAGGTGCTATTCTCATCGAAATCCATGAGCTCTCCTGCATTTCCCACATCCCTTGTAATTAGGAAGGGCCATGTGCCTGGGGCTGGCTGGAAGGGATGTAGGCTGTTTGTAGACCTGGCTTTCAAAAACATCCCAGGGACACTTCCAGCCCTCTCTCCTTCATGGCTTAGAAGCCCCATGTTCCAGATGGTGTAGCGACATGACAGAAGCAGCTCCTGACCCTGGGTCGCCATTGGGAAGAGAGGGATGCAGGCAGGAGAGCTGCACAGAACCGGCATAAGAAATAACTTGTGTTGTTAAGACACTGTGATCTGGGTGCTTTGTTTCATCAGCTAGAATTAATTACAGTGGAGAGTCTTTTGCAATGAATAAAAGCACTGTGGCACTGCAAGGCTCTATTACTAGAAGAAAAAGATGCCTTTGAAAAACAAGTATTAAACTATTCTTCTGGCACAATGTTCCTGAAAATAAACATATATGGGAATGTTACATAAACTGATTTATTCAAAGAGAAAAATGCTTTGAAAATAAAGGGAGCAATTAGGATATAACCTGTCTGTAAACTAAAACCAAGAATACTTAAGAATTGTGGTCTAGTTAGATATTCAGTCCTACAGAAAACAATGGTTACAATTCCTGTAAATGTTGAAATAGTCTGAAAACAGACTTCTAACTGTGACTAGAAATTTTACCTTTAAGCAAATTTAAGACCTTCAATAAACCTGAATTACTGAAGGCATTTTATTTATTTTTAATTAAAAAAATGTTTATTTATTTATTTCTAAAGAGAGGGAAGGGAGAGGGAAAGAAAGGGAGAAACAGTGATGTGAGAGAGAAACACTGATCGGTTTCGTATGTGCCCTGGCTGGGCACTGAACCCACCACCCAGGCATGTGCCCTGACTAGGAATCAGATGGGCAACCCCTCACTTTGTGGGATAATGTCCAACCAGCTGAGCCACACCAGTCAGGGTGGAAGGCATTTTAAATAAATGTTGCCCCTTAAATCCAGGGGTCAACCTTACCATCACTAATGGGGAATCAAACAGACATTATACATCAAATGGTGTGATGGAATATGGAATACAGAACATCCCTATAATGCAGTCTGGCCAAAAATATTTTACTTGTGTTCATTAGCCTCTAGCTGTGACATCAGTTTTTAGGAAATATAGATGATAGAAAAGCAAACTAAAGGACATGAAGTAGTAAATGGATAATGTGAGCTAGGACATTCTGCAGAAAAATTGGTCATCTCTAACTCAGAAAAAAAGAGAAAGGAGGTGGGTAAGCTAGAGGTGACAACCAAATATAAGGTGTAGTCTTGAACTGGGTATTGGTTTGGACACAATGGGTATGAAGGAAATGTTTTGCTCAATACCATCTGAATATGGTATGGGTATTCATGCTGTAAAAAACTGCTGGAATGGAAAGGGGAGGGCTGATGACTGAAAAGAACATGTTATGGAACAGTAGAGAATGACATCTTATTTTAATATAGAATTGTATGTATCTATACACAAAGAGAAAGGTCTAGAAGGGTCTGCATGCACTAACAGATCACCAATGCTCATGTCTAGTTGATACATATGTGATGTTCATTTCCTTAGCATTTTTAGTTTGTATTTCTAGTTTCTTATAATGGACACATACTGCTTTTGTAATGTATTTAAAAAAAAAAACCACCAAGATTAGTAAGAACTAGAGCATCTGAACTTTGGAAAGAAATGCAATGGTGAATAATTGAGATAACAGCCAATTACCTTCATGTTTCATTTTCTACAGATCTAATACGGAAAACTACAGACATAACTGTGGCAAGATGCACAGCAAAATGCCTTACGTGACCACAAAGGTTCTCAGACGAAGGAAAAAGATCATCTAAGAAGACTGGTAAAATAATCTGCCACAAAATTAATATTTAAAGATAATGTACCTGCCATTCTTACTTGTCAAAAGAAGTCAGGGCATAAAGAATGAACTGTTGTTTAAACAAACAAGTGCTGTGTGCAAAGAGATTCTCCAGTGAAAGTCCACTCACAGTCTGCCCCTTGGGAGAGCCCTCCTCAGTCAGCTTCTCAAACATCTCTCTAGCTGCCTGGACGTTCTGTGTCAGGTAGTCGCCAAACAAAAGAGCGTATGACACTCTCTCCAGAGCCTTCGTGTGGTTCATGCTTGCTGCCTTCTGAAGATACCGATATGCTCTTTAAGTGTAAACAATTAAAAAACACATTAGCAATATTTTGGAACTTTTGTTAATTTTTGTAAAGATCTATGGAAAGGCAACATAATTTCCTTAACTACAGTTATGTTACCTGTATACATAGAAAACATTCTGGCTACTTGGTTCTTACGTGAGGTACCAGTTCCGTCTTCCTAATATGTTGGAATAGTCTAATTACACTAGTAGTAATTCTCAAAACTTTTATTAAAAACATTAACTACATTTGTGACCAGAGAAATGTAATAATATGGTATCCAGTAAATAATCCAACGACAATCACTGCAATTTTCTTTTTAAATCTCTGCAGACTATAACAAAAATTAGCTGAAATTAAAGGGACATGAAATATTAGAACACAGTCATTTGTTTTATGTTTTTTTCCAAGTGGAAATTCACAAATTCTAGCCTTTGCAAGAAAATCACAAAGCAAAAACAAAAAAAAATGAAACATAAGACAATTCCTTTTGTTTATATCATTTTAAATTCTGAACAGCATATGTGTTCTTGGTTCTTAGAAACTACAACCTGAGTCAATTCTTTCTATTTTGCTCATTGTTCACTCTTATGATCAGTATTTTTAACCTTTTTATCTCAGCAAGCTAAAATCTGATAAAAGCAATGCCACTGAGGCCCATACATCATATTCAATTTCTTGTAACGCAACTTAAGAAATTCCGTGTTTGGCAAACCACTTTAAAGAAGCACTTAGCTATTCATCTCAGGAACGGCCTATCATAGGGGAGGCATGGCGTTGGCAGTGCTACCTACTCTCTTTTTTGGCTCTTCTTACTGCTTCCATTGAGGATTTTCATCCCAGTCTGGTACATCATTTCTGCTTCTTGCATTTGCCTTCTTTTAGTCGCCTCTTCTTCAGCTAAAAACAAAATGTCAGATGCACTTAAATGGACCCTAATTAATCCTACACCAATTATTTATCAAACATCAGCATGTATTCTGCCTTTTGGGTAGTCTAACAAACACAATTAATGATCTTTTACTCTTGACGAATCTGACCCCAAAGACACACAATTTAAGTGTTTACCTGACAAAAGATGTTAGTAATTCTAAAACTTTTACTATAATTCAATAAAATTTCAGTAGTAGCTTATGATTAAATGCCAAGGTCGGTGAAAATCAGGACAGGATATTAAAAAACAATAGTAAGAAAAACACCATTTTAGTCAAAGGGCACTGTAGCCTCACCTGAAATTCTATATATTTTTATAATGAGAAAGTATTTGATTATTTCTATAATAAAAAATTCATTAAAATCTGATTTCTATTAAATATATACTGATGAATGTTCAAATTCTGTTTTTTCCTATGCGTTGATGCAACACTGAAAATCACAGAATTGTTACAGATTTCTCAAAATTATTTGGCTACTGTAATATTGTATTGTATCAGAAATCCAGAACTCATTAAGACACATCTGAATATTTCATTAGGATCAATATTTACAGAAATAGAAGTGAGTCCTTGAACATAAAAATATCTGACTGTATTACACTGAAACACCTAATCGCACTAGCCCAAAGTCAAGGATGGGCTCCCTCTGATGTTATCCCCTCGGAATGCCTAATTATGTATCCGAGCCATTGTTTTGAAAGTGTTATTTGGAATCAAAAGAGGTTCAAGATTTTATGTTGTTTTTTATTAGTTACAAACCTTTTCCTGGAAAAAAATCTTTAAAGGTCAGCCCCTTTATATCACCACTAACACGCAGGAAGGTTAAATACATATAATTTGTTAAGTGTTACCTGAGCACAGCACATCTTACTCAAAGTGTTTTTCAAAAGGTATTTTTCTTCCCACCACTATTAACCTTTTCCATAATGTTGTTTCCTTCACTGTCAAAAAATGTTTCACATTCATTAAGTTAGCAGGCTGCCTAAGGCTTTGCAGAACAACTTGTGCACGCCAGTGGAAAACCATCTCTAAATAAGACACAGTGTGATGAGCTGCCCGAGTGACAGGCTGGACTTCAGTAAGCACACTGCAAGCTTCCTGGGCCAAAGCCCATCTTTAAGGCTATAACCACATTATCAACATCAACCAATTCTGACAAGGATGGAAAAAGGATGGCTACAGAAAAGCCTTAAAGATGTTGTCCGAGACATCAAGCCAATGTGGACGTGCCTCCCACAGATCAATACTTACTTTCACAAAAGCCCCACTTTTCATCTGCCTTGTAGTCATAGGTTGTGGCACACCACAGTCTGCCGTCTTCCCTCCCGTCCGATGTGCACTCATCATATTCCTTATCCAGGAAAAGGAAAGGGAAGTGGCAGGGCTCCCCATGTGCTGTGCCTTCGATGGCAGTCAAAACTGGGAAGACCAGAAAAAAATGTAAACATGAACAGCACCTGTGGTATTCATGGATTTAGCACTGCCAATTTCAACTACTAGGATTTAAAGAATAGGAAACATAAAAAGGCCAGCACCAATTCTGCTTAGGGATGACTTGGAGATGAGTTTACTCAGCATGGCTAGCTGACTACCCAGTTCTACGTCTAGCTTAGGATTTCTGAAAGTCTTGAGATCTAATAACCTTAGTATACTATCTACTGTACAACTTTTGCCCAACTAGTGAGCAAAAAATAAGGCAAATGCAATGGAATCAATTCCAAATCTCGGCACAACTCTATTTTTTAAAATTACTTTATTGTTGTTCAATTATAGTTGTCTACATTTTCCTCCCACCCCCCCACTTATTTTCTATCTGCATGCTGTAAGTCAATCATCAATAATACATACAGGGGAAATGCTCCCCTAGGCAGTAATCCCTCCCATAGTTCTCTGTGATCCCACAGCATTTTACTAGAGCACTACCATACATATTGAGGTTCTTTCTTTACCATATCCTAGCTCCTACTAGACTTTGAGCTTGTTTAGGGTGGAGCCCATATCTCTACAGTTTGTTCTCCAAGTTCTTTCTGAGTATCTCCTAGGTGCTGGGTATGAGGCGGAACAGAGATTTCTGCTATACAGAATTTACTACCTTGCAAGAAGAGAGACATTAAACAAAAGTGTGATTGATGCTATGGAAGAGAAAGCCTCTCCTATCAGGAACTGAAGTTTACACTGAACCTCACAATGTGTAGGAGCAGGGAGTGGTTGAAAGGTGGTGGGGTGAGGAGCAGCAGTGCAGACAGAGGAAACAGGTGTGTTAAGAATCAAAAGAAAATAAGCATGGTACATTATACAAAATCTTACAAGTTCAGGAGGTTGGAAGATGCAGTGTGAGTGCCAAAGTGGGTTAAGAGAAAAGGCTACAAAAGCATGAAGGAACCAGTCTAGGGGGTCCTGACTAATCTTATTAAAGAGTTTGGACTTCAGCCCTGGCTGGTGTAGCTCAGTGGATTGAGCATGGGTCTAGAAATCAAAGTTGCTGGTTCGATTCCCAGTCAGGGCACATGCCTGGGTTGCAGGCCAGGTTCCCAGTAGGGGGGTGCATGAGAGGCAACCATACATTGATGTTTCTCTTCCTCTCTTTCTCCCTCCCTTCCCTTCTATCTAAAAATAAATAAAATCTAAAAAAAAAAGAGGATTTGTTTGGACTTTATCCTGAGAACAGGGGAACTCATTTAAGAGTTTTAAGTAAGAATGACATGCTTACATTTTATTAAGAGAGTGGTCAACAGAATGAAGGCTGGGTGCAAAGTGACCACACTAAGGGCTGTGACAGCAGTCTAATCAACAGGTAACGCAGCCTGGAAAGATCACGAAATGAGAGTGGAAACACTGAAGTGAGCTGAGGAAGCAGATATGGTACTATTTACTGCCTGCCTGTATGTGCAGATGAGAGGAGAGAGGAGGCAATGATGGCTCCCAGGTAGCAGGCTTCAGGAAGTGAGTGGAAGGTCGTCCTTACTAAGACAGAAGGTTCCCACCACCGTACCTGATAGAAGTGACTCACGGTACCTACACTGTTGGTAAAAACAACGTGGTTTACACTCAACGTGTTTTCCTCCTGGGAGCCTGTAATTTCAGTACATGCTAGGCAGAGAGTGATCACATGATTACTCTCTATTAAAAACTCCAAGCACTGGGTCTCTAATGAGCATCCCTGGAAGATAACATTTCACAAACGTCAACACACGTGCCTTATAAGGATTCAAGTGTGTCTTGTGTAATTCTCCTTGGAAACTTGCACCTGGCTTCCCCTGGACTTTGCCCCATGTTGATTTTGTTTTGTATACTTTCTCTATAAAAAAAATCACAGCTGTGAGTACAAATATATACTGAGAACTCCCAGGAAATAACCAAACCTGGGGATGATCTTGGAGACCCCCAACATCAGTTGGCATCAGACGTGGCATTTACTAGAGTGACCTCGGCTCACTGAAATATGGTGCAAGTGTTCTTTGAGAAAGGAAGGATATGATGAATCTCTGGTGCCCCAGGGGTTACTGTCACCCATGACACGCAGCAGCTGAGCTGCTATCTGCCGTGAGAGGTAAAATTACCTGTGGAACTTGAGAACGACAGATTCAACTCCAGGAGAGTGGGCTCGCTGGATTCCCCCCTTGCTTTGGGCCATGCTGGTTAAAGGGATGATGCCTTCAGGTGTTGTTCTTTCCTCCAGATGGGAGGATAAAGGACCCCAAATTCCCAAAGGTGAATGGGTCAAAATGTTAAAACTCTGAACTGTACTTTCCTCCAGATAGGGTGAGGGGTAATGGTGAGGGGAATGGAGTTAAATCAGGTTCCTGGGCTGGAGCAAGGTTTTAGATAAACCAGAAAGAGAGGGAGGGGGGTAACCTGCCAGCAGTTTTTTCCAGCCCAGCTGCCACTGCAGTGGCTGCCCCCACTCCCCTTCCTCCCCTGCATCCCAGCCTGACCTTCCCTGGCAGCTGGGAAGTTCACACAGCAAATGCTAAAGTTACTGTGAGGAGCTTAAGTAAATTTGAAATGAGGGGGAAGAAAAGAAATTTTTTTAGTGGCTCTCTATTTTGTGGCTATCACATCTGAATGTATGGTAAAAATTACTGTAAAACATTAAATACTTGTAATTCAATGTATGCCAGAGAAATTATCCTGATCGGGGGAAGCTGCATAGAAGAAATGTGTCAGGAGGACACAATTTCCATGCTTTTGCTGCTGGTGGGCAAGCTGGAATTTAAACTCTCTGAATACTGGAAAAAGAACAAATTTCTGTAACTGATGAGTTTTACCATTGAGAAGAAGCCAAGTTTGCCACCCCAAAATATGCCACTTTGAGATTTGGTTATTTTAAAGAACAAGACTCAGGAAGAGCCTTTTACCTCCCACCCCAACCATCACCTGCCTAAAGGAATTCACATTAAAAGCCCAGCTGCTGCAGGAAGGGGATCACCTTAGCGTAATATGAACTCTCATATGAACTCGGTGTGGCAGACAGGGAGGCACCCAGCAAAGTCCGGTAAATTCCCTTTTGTCTCCCCTTGTTTCTGGGTGGCCCTACAAGAAATTTCTTCACCAAAAATTTGCTCCTTCCCACCTACCTGTGAATTGTCCATCTTCCCTTTGAAGTCCAGACTACTACCCCAGCCCCCCTTCTCCTTAGCTGAAAATGGCAAGTAAGTCTCAAGTGTTCCATTTGTCCACTGGTGTCACATTCGTAAGTCCAGATTTTAGATGGCTAATGAGTGGCCGTCAAAGCAGAGGTCTGGCCCTTAGAGACTGGTGCGCGTGTCTGTGAGTGGGTCAGTTTGGACTGAAGACAAGAGATGGGAGGGGTAGAGAAAAGTCTTGCCTGCCACTTGGACTTTCCGGCCCTGCAGCACCTAGCCTCTGCTGCTGCTATAGGAAAGCCTCTGGCTTTTCAAAAACCCTGAACTTGCACACCCTAATTGCACAGGCTTGACTCTAAGCTGCACGCTGATACTGTCTGGTCTAGGCCAGTCTCGCCTGAGCTGTCCGAACTGAAGGCAGGCCTTGGCTCAGTCAGCAGGGCGCAGACACTGACCTTTGCACGTCAGGTCGCCTCTCTGTGGGGCCTTGCACTGTGAGGAAATCATGAACGCTTGGCTAACTGTCTGAGTCACATACAGGTCCCACAGGCAAGGGCTTGCTCTTTGACGGACCGTATGAAATCAAGCTGCTGACTGGAGACATGTTCTCAGAGACTGACTGGACTCGTGACTGCGGCCCAAAGCTGCAATTTCGGAGAGGGACTGACCCTGCACTCGCTGCCGAGAGGTCATAAAGACACCCCACCTGCTCTGGGACAAGTCTCACCGCGGCTGAACCCTTGTCTGGCTCTCCGGACTCGCTGCTGTTGCAACGAGGGACTGGTTACTTGACCCTGCTTCCCTCACCTTTCTCCTAGTGCAGACACCCCAGTGCAATCTGATCATTAAACACAGCTCTCCACAGAAAGGGGCTGGCCTTTTCTAGGCTGCTCACTGGGTAAGAGGAAAGTTGTTAGCCCATTTTGAAATTTTTTTAAAATTCAAATCGTCCTGAACAATTCCTGAACATGGTATCTTTCTAGTTCAGTTGTGTAAGTGTTTTTCTGTGAGGATGTTTTGCCCCCATTGTACACAACCTCTCCAGATGAAAGGTCTGGATGAGTGCAGGGGATGACTGAAACAAGTAAATTATGACACTAAATGGAAACACCAGTTTTTTATCAACCGAGGAAAATAAACCTAAACTCCTGCACCTGGAGGGGCACAAGGACTAGGAGGCAGTATTGTGGTCTTTGTTTTCAAAACCTCTTCTGGGAACACCTCCCTTCTCCTAAAGTGAAGTGCTCTGCGCCCCTCTCCAAGCTGCTGAGAGCGCTCTGACTGCGGAATGCTGGGCCTCTGAGCAGAGTGGACAGGGCTGGATGGCAGGCGGGCAGCAGGAGGTGGCCCAGCTCTGGCACTTCCCAAGCAGAAAACCTCCCGGTGCTGTCCACACTCAGGAGGTGCAGAAATGGTCTCATGGACAACAAAACCATATGGAACTGTCTGGTAGTCTCTCCGAAAGCAAGGACTGAACTAAACTGTGTGGACTAGAAACCCTAGGATAAGACACCCACGGTGGGAGGCCACGCTGCACTGCCTGATATGTGTTCTGCTTCGGGTGCCCCAGTGGTCGCAAATTCTGTGTTGCCAGTGTTGCCACACGTGCTCCCCAGGGCAGTACTTCTGCATGTGTACTCTGACCACCACGGCACTGCCTCAGCCCTGGAAGGCCTGCCAGTTAGCTTTAATTTACTGGCTGGAGTTGTGCTAGGCCCGAATTGATGCTTAGGGTCAGGTTAAAAAGATTGATACAGAAACTTTAAGAAGATAGCCACCTTTGTGATTAATGGGATTTATTAACTGGCTAAGTCCAGGACCTGTGAAGGGCAT